TTATTTGAAAGAGTGATAGAGAAGGGACGAAATATAAAGGAAAAAAAATCTGTGCCCACTAGTTCGCTCATCACATGATCCAATGGCTTGACCAAAACCAGGAACCCACATACTTGAGCCATCTTCCTCTGCTTTCCCAGAGGTATTAACAAGATACTGGATCAGAAGTGGAGCAGCTGAGACCTGAACCTGTACTCCAATCTGGGATGCCAGCGCTCATTTCAGCACAGTGCTGCTTTCTGCCCTTTAAGGCTTATTGCTATTATTGTTTTGAAAGAGAGCTATCTAGAATCAATGTGTTTAATCTGTTGTTACCAGAGAAAGCCGAAAGAGTATAGAATATTCCTGCATTGAGCGGTAGGAAAAGAAGCAGCTAAAGAAATGCTAAACTAGGCAGATAAACTTGTGGTGAGAATATTAAAACTCTGCAGACAGCAAAGTTTCTGGAAAAAAAAATGTGAGGTCATGCTTATTTGACAAAGAGGGAGGCTGAGGACCAACAGTTGGCATTTTCCACAGAACAGGAAGGGATGAAGTTAGGGTGGTGAGGAGTAAAGTTAGGTCCATTAGAGCACTTGTTTAGGAAAAAGACAGAATGGAACAGAATCAAGTGTATTATTTTAGGTTCTGGAAGAGAGATTCCGTGTACATTTTTAGAGGTGATAAGAGGAAAGGCTCCTGTAATGATGAGAATAGTGTCTGGTGACAGAGAAGAACATCATGTCTTAAGGAAGAAACAACTAGGAAGGAAGAAGTGATCTTCTGCGACTAGGGGGAGATAAATACTGGGCAAGGGTTACAAATGTTTTTAGGTGGTAAAATGTTCACACATTTAGGTCTAGTAAGGTTAATGATATATAAAATAAAATTTTTTGAAGCGCAGTCAGTTCGTTTGCTTGTTTACTCAGGAAATACTCGATACCTTGTTTTTGTAGAGATGCACGGATGAATAAGTTAGCAATAAAGAGATAAACATCTTTCTGATTTTTTTCATTGGTTATTTGTAGGCTTTTCTAGGATTATATATCAGTATTCATGAGTGTCTAAGAGAGCAGAATTAGATGGTGGGAAAGGTGGCTCTGGAGAGGTTAATCTGTACCCTGGATTAGATAGAGAATCCAAGGAGCTACAGGATAGAATGGAGAGCTCCGAGTGGTAGGTAGAGGTCTGAGCAGGGTGATGTGATAAAGGATAGACAAAAGCTGTTGTGGTAAGAGGAACTGAGATAATAGTGCTTTTGAGATTCTGAAGCTAGAGCTAGAGTCAAGTAGAACTCAGCGCACCTGTTCTGGAAAGAGGTTGGATTTGCAAGGTCAAATAATGATCAAAAAATAGGATTAACATGCATGTTATAAAAGTGTTCATTTTGACTACTACAGTTAAAGAACTCATATTTTTATCAATGTATTCATAATATAAAAAGTTGGATATCACCTTTTTAAAAAGTAATGGGTTTTATAAAGTGTGTACTTTTTAAAAAAAATTTTTAATATTGACTACCTAGTCTAGAGGGATGCATGCCCATGTGGGTCTCTGACTAAAATGGGGAGAATCAGGTATGCAGGGATGTGGGTGGGACACATGTTTCAGTAGTTTTTTTTTCTCCTCTGTTCACAGGGAGGAGAGGGAGAGGGTTGCTTCTTGCTGTCCCAACTGCATCAGCACCTGGGGACAGGGGATCGTTCCTTGATGATGCCCTAGAGACTCTGTTATGGGGAACAGTGTTCTGAGGCTGTTACTTGAGTGATTTCAATATATCAGAAATGTCAATTTTATTGCTCCAGGGTTAAAAAAAATCTTTCCAAGGTCTGCTGATTGACAAAGTTCACCTTAATGCATCCACAGATACAGTAGCATGCTGCAAAGCTTGATCAGAACTGTCCAACCTGTTCTGCTTTCTGTTCTCTGCTGCTGGCCTCACATATGCTGACAAATGCCACCCCTTATCCAACTTGGCCTGCCCCCAGCTCTGGTTGTTGTGCTCCCCAGCAGTGGGTACCAAGGGTACTAAGCATGTCCATAGCTCTGGAACTTGTGCCTGTCAGGGCATACAGTGGCCCAGCTGAAATGACTCACACCCAGTCCCAGCACTTGCCAGTTGGTACCATGGCCTTGGCTCTCCCACATGCATTTTGTCTCATGCACACTAGCAGATGCAGCAGTTGTGCTAAGCCTGATCCACCCCCAGACCAGGCCACCCAGTCCCAGCTTTCAGGCTCACCAGTGGAAACAGCAACCCAGTAAGGGAGTCCTCAAAGTTACCCTACCAGGCCTGCTCCCCGCTCCAGATATTGCATGTGTGAGCAAGTGCTGCAACCCAGTTTGAGATGGCCTTTCCCAGTCTTGGCATTTACCAGCAGATGCTACAGCATACCTTGGCCTGGCCTGTCCCCATTCCTAGCTCTCAGCAGTGGGTACTACAGCCTAACCCAGCTTGGCCCACTCCAGCCTTCATATGAACTGGCAGGTGTTGTGGTCCGACCCAGTCTGACTTGCACCCTGTCCTGGCCCCCAGGACTGACCCTGCCTGGTCCACCTCCAGACCCAGCTCAGACGTATGCCAGTGGGTGCTGCATCCCAGCCTGATCTAACCTGCTTCTAGCTCTGGCTCTCATACTCACCAGCAGGAACAGTGCCTAGCAGGGCAATTCCCCCCAATGCCAGACCCCTAGTGTACTGTCAGGTGCTGGTGCACAGGCTGACATGGATGGCCCCAGTCCTGGCACTCACTGCTGCATATTGTGATCCAGCCTGCCTGGCTTGCATCTATTCTGGCTCTCACCAGTGAGTGCTATAGCTTAGCCTAGCCTGACCGCCCCCTCTGGTTGTTGGGCCACGAAGAGGGTAACACAGCCTAGCCTAGCCTTTCTTACACCTGTTCTGGCTCTCATGATTACCACTAAGTGCTGGAGTCCAGTCCAGTTTGGCCTGGTCCCAGACTCAGGCCATATGCATGCTGATGAGTGCGGCAGCCCTGCCCAGCCTGGTCTGTCCACAACCCCAGCTCTTGCACTCACCAGTGGGAGCTGCAACCCCACAGGGAAATATCCAGAGTTTCCTTACCTGGCCTGCTCCCAACCCCAGGTCTTGCACATGCTGTCAGGTACTTCAACTCAGCCTGACATGGCTCAGCCACAGTCTCAGCTCTAGGTGGTGGGAATTACATTCTAGCCCAGCCAGATGTCTTCCACACCCTGTCCTAGCTCTTGTGCACGCCAGTGGGTGCTAAGACCTCTCCCAGACTTGGTCCACACAAATGCTGACAAGGGCTACAGACTCACTCCCAGCTCCAACTCTAGTCTTCCCCACAGTAGCTTCAGTAGTCTCCCAGCTGGAACTGTGGGCTAGCAGGGAATGCTGTTTAGTCCAGCTCAGGTCTCCCATGTAAAGGCAGGTGCCTTGGCCAGACCCAGATGTGCCCTCTAGATTCCCCACTCTGAACCACCTTGTCTCATCTTTCTTGCCAAACTTCCTTGCCTTCTTGACAGCAAGAAGCAGTGGCCCAGTTTGTGGAAGAACTCAAAAGGCATTCTTTCACAGTCAAAGATGCCCTCGGCTGCTGTCACTCAATGCGTCCCTAGATCCTTTCTGCAGGCAAACTACAGTCCGCCAATCTGGAGGCTGGGGAGGCATGTCCCAGCCTGGAGTTCCCACCTTCCTCTCTTGTGTTAAAAAACAAACAAATCAGCAGCACCTGCACTATTACACCAGTATAATGAACATGGATTTGGTATTAACCAGGCCCAGAATGTCTGGTACAAGGCAACTCAGGCATGTGCTGCAGCTGGAGTGTTTGGTGCACTTTCAGCATTCTTTCTGTAAGTTCAGTTTCACGTTAATGTTCATATCTATTAAAATATGTTGTATGATATGTTGAATTTTATATAAAAACGCAGAGAATTTTTTTCCCCTGATATGGTATAAATACATAGAGGTTATAGGGTTAGTGTAGTAAGTAAAGCACTTTATTTCTCTGTTGTTCTTGGCATGTTATGTGTACTCTGTTTGATTTGACTAGTAAGTGCCTATACCTTCTTAAGACTGTCAAATATAGAAGGTGTTTTGATTGGGAATATTTTGTTTCTTTTAAGAGTGAATCTGATTCAATCTGAAGACTGCTAACATGTTATTGATTAGTTTTCATTGATAAAATTAGTGGGCAAGCTACTTTTTAAAGAAAGGAGGTTTAATTTGGTTAACTGGTTTGGAGGTTTATAGGCCAGCTTAATTGGTTAATTCTCTGATGTGTGGCATCCTTGCTGCCAGAGTCCCAAGGTGGCCAGAGGCAGGTAGGGTGTGTCTGGCTATCTTCCTGTAAAACTACCAAAATGTGACCATGGGTTTTCACCCTAATGAAGTCTAATCATTTTGAATGGATCCTACCGATAAAACTATAGTTTCCCATTCTTTTAGTACCAACAGTATGAGACTGGTGACCAAAGTAGGCCAAATTATATTCAGACTGTGGCATCTGGTTTACTTGTGGCAGTCCTGGTTTGTACCTGCTGTTCCAGTGTACCATGTTCCATCCAGTTATTGCCATCCTCCCCAACCTTACTCCGAAGTTTTCTCATTTGAACATAGCATTCTGAGGTCATTCTCCCTGTTGGTTACATTTTGAGATATATGGTCTGTACTTCGAACCATTTTAACATGTACTTTAGTAGTTGAAAGAAGCTCGTAGTTGGTTTTACTGCTAACAGATTTAGAGGTACTTGAACAAAGTTGTTGCTTTCTCTGGCTTAGCAGCAAATACATCTCATAAAAGTGATAAATGTGGGTGGAATTTGATAGTTGTTCTTTGAATTCAGCAGGTGTTAATACCAGAGTATGTGCTAAAGCATAATAGCGTAATAGCCTTTCAAATGAATGCATCCTTAAAATTTTTGCCTTGAAAAAGCAATATGTATGGTAGTAATGGTCTTGGATTTATGAAATGGTAAGCATAAAATGTCTCTGAAAATGACCTAAATCTTGACTGTTTCCCTTTCTTCAAACAGCACTAATATTCTGAGGGAGCCTGTTTGTCTAGGAAGTTGTGAACACATCTTTTGTAGGTGAGTAATTATGCCTAATGCATGTAGTGTAACTTTTGTTTTTTAACTAGATAGCAATTCTGTCATAATATTAAGAGCAATAATACTTAGTATTAGGTAACTTTCAGAGCCTGTAATGTATTGTTCATATTTGATCCTTATATCTGTCTTAATTTACAAGTAAGAAAATCAAAGTTCAAAGAGAATTACTTGTCCAGCTTAATAAGTACCTTTGCTAATTTTGAAGGCCAATTTATGTCTTTTATATAATTCATACTCTTTTTTTTTTCATATCTCTTTTTTAAGGTTTTACTTACCTGTTTGAAAGGCACAGCAAAAGAGGAGCTGGGTCTGGTTCACTCTTCAAATGCATGCAATAGCCAGGGCTAACTGAGCCAAGAACTCCATGTGGGTCTTCTGTGGGTGGTGGAGACCTGAGTGCTTGGGCCATCTGTGCTGCTTCTTAGGTTCTGCATTAGCAGAAGTTGTGTCAGAAGTGGAGGAAGGGCCGCATCCTACATAACACTGATATCTTGAGTTATAACTGACCTGCCTCCTCAGCTGTGTTTTGAGTCTAGACTTTGAGCATTATGTAATTTAGCTTTTGACATTTATTGAATTAGTTTTCTAAAGCTGCCATTAGAAGGCAATGAAACCTGGATGTTTGAACCACAGATTTATTATGATAGAGCTCTGGGGGCTGGAAGTCCAAGATGAAGATGTTGGTAGTGTTGGCTCCTTCCGAGGGCCATGAGAGATCTATTCTGTGCTTCTCCCTGGCTGCTGGCAGCTTCCTGGGAACTTCGTCTCTCTGCCTTCACATTCCCATGATGGTCTTCCTTGGGTTGGTGTGTGTGTGTGTGTCTGAGTTTGATTTTTCACTTCTTATAAGAATTCCAGTTGTGCTAGATTAGGGCTCACCCTAATGATCTGTGTTTGAAAGGAAGAGTGACAGAGAGAGAAATCTTACATCCAGCTGGTTTATTGCTCAAATGCCAACAGTAGCCAGGTCTGATCCTGGCAGAAGCCAGGAGCACTATCCTGATCTCCCAACTAAGTGCCAAGGGCCCACATACTTGGATCATCATCTGTTCTCCTCTAGAAGCATTAGCAAGAAGCTAGATTTGAAGTGGAGCAGCTAGGATTTGAACTGGTTCTCTGATACTGTATGGCTTTGCTGCAAGCAGTTGTCAAACTGACCGTTCCACAGTACTGGCTCCTAATGACCTCAGTATAACTTGATCATCTACAAAGACACTTATTTTTTAAAATTTGCTTATTTATTTGGAAGTGAAGTTACACAAAGAGAAATAAAGAGATTTTCCATCTACTGCTTCACTCCCAAAGTGTCCACAATAGGCAGAACTAGGCAAGCCAAAGCCAAGAGCCAGGAGTGTCTTCTGAGTCTTTCACATGGATGCGAGAGCCCAGGCACTTGCACTGTTTTGGCAGAAACATTAGCAGAAAGCTGGATCAGAAATGCAGCAGCTGTGCTTACATCAGTGCCCATATCAAATGCCTGGGTATAGGCAGCGATACTGGAGTGTCTGCCCCCTTGGACACTAGTTTTTAAATTAAGTTGTTTAGTACTGCATGATGGGGTTATGCTTTGTATTCAGGAGGTCAGTGGTAGTTTCTAAAGCAGCATGCCAAGTGACAGCTAGTTTCTCATCTGCTTAGGAGTTTATTCTGTTGCCTTGTTATTCTCATTGAAGTTTGTGAAGATAGTCTGATATGCGTGTCAATAGTTGGAAAAGGAATATTCCAATATTCCTTTTAGATAATTATGTATATCTTCATTGATGCTAAGTCAAAACAAGTGCTAGTTTCTTTAGACTTATCACAGAATAAAATATGAAAATATTTCAGCAGATTTTTGTATCCTATTACATTAAATTGCAGTAGTAGGGCTTGGCACAGACATATGCTTGCAGCGTTGGCATCCCTTATGGGTACCGTTTCAAATCTGAGCTGCTCCACTTCTGATCTGATTCTCTGCTAATGACCTGGCAAAACTGCAGAGGATTGCCTCAATCATTGCACCCCTGCCGTCATAGCAGAGACCCTGATGAAGCTCCTGGCTCCCAGATTTGTGTTAACCAAGCTCTGGCTGTTGCTACTCTTTGGGGAATTAACCACCTGATGAAAAATCTTCTCTCTCTGTTTTTCTCTCTCTCTTGCTTTCGCTCTATCTTGTTCTCCCTTGGTATTTGTTTTGCAATTTAAATAGATTTCTTCTTTTTTTAAAAAAAGATTTATTTATTTTTAATGCAAAATCAGATATATATATATATATATATAGAGAGAGAGAGAGAGAGAGAGAGAGAGAGAGGAGAAGAGACAGAGAGGAAGATCTTCCATCCCATGATTCACTCCCCAAGTGAGCGCAATGGCTGGAGCTGCAATGACCAGGAGCCAGGAGCTCTTCCGGGTCTTCCACAGGGTGCAGGGTCCCAAGGCTTTGGGCCATGCTCGACTGCTTTCCCAGGCCACAAGCAGGGAGCTGGATGGGAAGCAGGGCTGCTGGCCTAGGAAAGCAGCACCCATATGGGATCCCAGTGCTTATAAGGCAAGGACTTAAGCCACTAGGTCACAGTGCTGGACCTTTAAATAGATTTTTTACCCAGCATAATATTATAGCATCATATTTTGATCATTTGGGAAATTTAGGATCACTGAGTAATGAAGATATATTGACAAATCGTATTTCTCTAAAGGTTTAGACTTATGTATATCAAATAATTTTTTAAAATATTTATTTGTATTTTTTAAAAGATACACTTTTTTTTTTTATTGCAATGGCAGATGTACAGAGAAGACAAGGCAGAAAGCTCTTCTATCCACCCACCCACTGATTCACTCCCAGATGGCTGCAACAGATGAAATCTAGTCAGTCTGAAGCCAGGAGTTCCTCCAGGGTCTCAAGGCTTTGGACCATCCTCTGCAGCTTTCCCAGGCCCTAAGCAAGGAACTGGATGGGAAGTGAAGCAGCAGGGACATGAGCTGGTACCCATATGGGATTGTGGTTCTTCAGGTTGCGGATAGCTCTTTAGCCTGTTGTGCACCTAGATTATTATTTTTTTTTTTTTGAAAGTCAGATTTTACAGAAAGACAGAGAGAGGTCTTCCATTTGCTGCTTCACTCCACAGGGGCCACAAGGGCAAAAACTGAGCTGATTTGAAGCCAAAAGCTTCTTCTGTGACTCCCACATGGGTACAGGGGCCCAAGGACTTAAGCCATTCTCCACTGCTTTCCCAAGGCCACAAGCAAAGGGGATCTGAAGTGGAGCAGTGTGGACATAAACTGGTGCCCATATGGGATGTTGTTGCCGCAGATGGAAGATGAGCGTGCTGTGCCACTGTACCAACTCCTAAAATATTTTTTTTTAAAAACTTGCAAAGCAGACATTAATAGGAAAGATGTTGGCATCTCTATTCCATAAGTTTGTAATGTAAAATACTGTGAAGTCAATCTTTTTGAGCATACTCAAAAAGGTTTAGATCAGATAAGGATGCTTGACCAGTAAAAACCATGCAGATATTCTAAAAATATGGAGACACCAAAGTCTGAAATAATTTTGGTCCTGTTTTGTTGGATGAATAATACTCAACTTGATTGTCAGATAAACTGATTTTACTCGTAGTACAAATCTGTGTGAGGGGCTTAACCACCTCAATCTGATTTTCACCTTCTGGAAACAAAATATTGGTATTTGATAAATAGTACGCAAAGATGGATGATTTACATAGTCCGAATAATCAATGCACCTATTTCTTACATGTTTTAGGATTCCAGGTTAAAGTTCCTAATTTATAAGCAAGCAGATTCACCAAAGTTCTTATGCTAAGGAAATCTGACTTTGATTGATGTTGATGACAATTTTTGAGCTAGCTGATTGTAGGGATCTTTCCCAGCTCCGTTATGGATAACAGATTAATTGTCAATATTTTTTTGGACTACTTGTGCATCGTAGCATGCCAGGAACTAAGGATACCAAAGAGAAGTGCCTAGGTTTTCTGTGCAGAGGCTCCTGTTTAAGGCTGTTTGGCATCTGCACAGGAGCAGAATGCCAGCAGAGCTGTGGCTTTTACGCGGTTTGTGTCACCTCGTCCCACTCGATCCCAGCTGGGAGGGCCAGTGGAGTCTGTAGGAATTTTGTTTCTGAAGTTGCAGATGGACTTCCGGGCACATCGTGACCCTTGTATTAGTCCATTTTCTGTTGTCACTAACACAGTGCTGCAGACTGTGTCAGTTAGGAAGAAGGACGTTTTATTTTGCCAGCGGCTTTATGGGTACAAGGCTGTTTGTGAAGGTTTTCTTGAGAAAGTGGAGTGCCTTTGTCTCTTTTGGTCTGTCTTATAAAGCCACCAAAAATTCAATCATGAAGTCTCTCATCCAGTGACCTGCTCCAATCCTAATCATAGCCTCCAGTGCCACATGGGACACTGGTTGGTTTAGGTTTCTGCACCTCCAGCCCCAACCTAGGAAGACTAGGACACACTGAAGCCCTTTAGAAGGATGACAAACCTTTTACTGATTTTTTTTTTTTTTTTTTTTTTTTTTTTACTGATTTTAGTCCTTTTACTGATTTCTCTTGGCGGCATTGTGCATAAGATTTCATCAGATTTGCAAAGGATTGGTTATCTCAATAGGTAAAGACCTGTTTAGTCCCATCTGTGAGATTATAACATTGACAAAACACATAATAATTGAGACTCTGGATTATACTGAAAGAAGAAAAACTTTTTTCAAAAACTGCACTAAAACCTTTAGACATTAATCTAAAACCTAAACAAAACATACTTTTTTCCCGATCTCTTTGCATTATTTTTAGATATTTCCATCAAGTCAAGTGTTATAATATAGGAAAGAAAAGGCTAGTTTGCAAGTTCATTGCACATTAGATGCTAGATCTTTTTTTTCCTTCTCTCACATATTTCAGAATGTGTCACCCAGTAGATTTAGCTGTATGCAAAAGCTGATGTCAGACTAAAAGTTTCTTCATAGCAAATTATATCAGTAAGTTTAGATTTGGATTATTATTGTTTCTGGGGCCAGTGTGGTGGCTCAACAGGCTAATGCTCTGGCCTTCAAGTGCTGACACCCATATGTGCACCAGTTCATGTCCCCACCTTCCCTGCTTCTGATCCAGATCCTTGCTTATGGTTTAGGATAGCAGCAGAGGATGACCCAAATCCTTTGGACCATGAACCCACATGGGAGACCTGGAAGAAGCTCCTGCCTCCTGCCTTTGGATTGGCTCAGCTCTGGCTGATGCAGTCATTTGGAGAGAGAACCAGTGGATGGAAGATCCTTCTGTCTAAACTTCTCTGTGAATCTGCCTTTCTAATAAAAATAGATTTAAAATAAATCATTATTTGAAAGACAGATTTTTACAGAGAGAGAGAAGGTGAGAAAGAAAGAGGTTTCCATCCACCAGTTCACTCCCCAGATGACCACATTGACCAGAATCAAACTGATCCAAAGCCAGGATCTTCTTCCTGGCCTCCCACATGGATGCAGGGGTCCAGTGCCTCAGACTGTCCTCAACTAATACCCCAGATCCTCCTGTTCCCCTAGTGGAGCAGATGGGACACAAAACTGCCACGCATATTAAGTGCCAGCAGTTAAAGGTGGAGGATTAGCATACTATATCACCATTCCAGGCCTACATTATTTTTTAATGTAATGGTTTATCTATTTGAAAGGCAAAAGAAAGAGATCTTCCATCTACTGGTTCGTTCCAGGAGCCAGGAACTTTTTCTTTTCTCCTATGTGAGTATAGACTTGGGCCATTCTTTGCTATTTTCCCAAGCAGATAGCAGAGAGCTGGGTCAGAAGTAACACATCTGGGACTAGAACCAGCACTGCAAGAATAGGCTTTACTGACAATGCCACAGCACTGGCCCCTAGATTTAAACTGTACATTTATATGTATATATATGTATCACACTCTATAAACCTTGCCAATTTAACAAGTATTCACAGGGACCACTCTAATAGCTTCTGCTTCATTTTTGTCTGCTAAAACTTTTTTGTTAGTCTGTTGAATGTATTGATTTTTTTTCTCTTTAATTCTTTTAAAGTAACTGTGTAAGTGACTGCATTGGAACCCGATGTCCAGTGTGCCAAACTCCAGCTTGGATACAAGACATAAAAATAAATAGGCAGTTGGGCAGCATGATCCAGCTTTGTAGTAAACTTCGAAATTTACTACATGACAACAATCAAGGTGAGAAATACCAAGATTTCTCTTTGTTAAATCATGGTTGAATTTATATTGATCACCCAAAATAGGTAAAAGATTTAACAAGAATTCTGAATGATATATCTCAGATTTTGTGAATGCTAGATTTTTGGTTTTGTTTGTTTTTTAGATTTATATATTTATTTGAAAGGCCAAGTTAGAGAGAGAAGGAAAGATAGATCTTCCATTTGCTGGCTCAATTCCAGCTAGCTGCAGTGGCTAGAGATAGGCTTATCTGAAACCAGGAGGCAGGAGCTTCTTCTGGGTCTCTTATGTTTCACACTGGCCCAAGCACCTGGGGCTGTTTTCTGCTGCTTTACCTATACATTCCAGGGAACTGGATTGGAAGTGGAGTCACCAACACCTCCATCAGTGCCTTATGAGACACTGGCTCTGCAGGCGGAAGTTTAGCTTGCTATGTCACAGCACCAACTATATAGTTGTTGGAATTATTTTGAGAAAGTAGAGGAACTATAGAAATAGGTCTAACTTATAATTTTGTTTTTTTAGAGTTAAAAATTTATTTTTTTCTTGGAAGGGCCAAAGAGAGCTAGAAAGAGAGAATAAGAGGCATAGCATGTGTATGAGAGAGGAAGATCTGCTATGCATCTGTGGTTCACTTCCCAAGTACTTACAGAAGCCAGGCTGGAGCCAGGCCAAAGTTAAGAGCCCAAAGTTGAGCCCAAGGTCTGACATGGGTGGCAGTGTCCCACCGTTCTATTGCCTCTCAGGATGCATTAGCAGGAATGCAGGGTGGGAAACCTAGAAGCTGGGACTAGAACTAGCATCTAATAGAGGATGTGGTCATCCTGAGCAGTAGATCAACCTACTGCGCAACAGTGCTTGCTCCTAATTCCCTTGTTTCATGGATGAGGAGCCAAGATGCGGAGTGGTTACTGATGTTGCCTGCTATCATTAATGTCAAGAGCAGGAGAAATAGAGTCCATTTATTCATTTACTTATTTTGGTCATTAGTCTACATTCTATTTTTGAAGATCTGCTTTTTACAGTTATTATAATTTCACCGGAAAATATATGAAAGTGATTTTGTCTATCATAATACTTAAGTAAATATACTTTTGTAAGATAAAATACAACATTTTTCCATGGTTCACTTTACTAGACTGAATTAATTAGATGATTGTGTTTTGAAAGTGCAAAAATCTAATATTCATTTTCTTTTCTATGGAGAATGGGGGTTAAGGTTTTTCAGATTGTCCTTAGTCTCTACATATTAAGTATATATCTTTCCATTGTGCTTTCTGCTGAGAACTAATTAGCTGTGCAAAGCAAGTAAAGTGTTTTGAATCTTCATTAGCAGGTAATGGAATTGTCATTTTATTGACCAAGCAGCATCATTTTATTGTGCATTTATAGAAGAAACACTTTTTGAGTAGTGGACTGATATTAATCATTGACAATGTTCATAAAATGTTATTTGATCTCCATTTTTATACCTTTAATTCTTTCAATTCTGATGTATTCTTATCATCTATCGAAGATGAAGTTGATTGGACAAAATAAAAGGAGAAGGCCAATACTTCAAGTCTATCGTGCAGAAGCTGTCTTTTTAAGAATTTAAATTATAGTCTGCTTACAAAAAATTTTCACCATCTGGTTCTTTGCATTGTTTTTTATCTTAAATTATACTACCGTGACAAAACTTTACTTGTTTCTGGATGCACTTACATACACATATTTTTAAATGCTTATTATTTTAAAATAATGGTGGAATCATAAAGCACTTAAGGAGCGTGTAAGGAAAACTTTGGTTATCGGTTCATCTGAACTCTTTAATAGGCTGTGCAGACAGTGTTTATTTCAAGTTAAAAATATTGCTGTACAATCTCTCATGTTCCCCATACCCCATAGGTAACTGTGGCTGGGTAGAGGGTTTTTGAATCAAGGGTACATACTCTTTGGTCTTTCATAGTATTTGAATTTGGGGTGGAGTGAGCACCTTGATTTAAGTATAGGGTATAAAAGGTATTTCTGTATGAGCGATTTTTTCCCCCAATTTTTAAAATAAATTTTAGATGATGTTTTACATCACAGTGGGAAGGATTTAGGGTTAGAGAGAAATGAGTGTGATCATTGTTTTCAAACTTTGTTTCTTCCCATTTCTGAGGGGATGGAGGAGATAAGAGGATAAGCCAGACCCAGCCTCCCAACCATCCCAGTACCCAAGGATGGGGAAAGGCCACCCAATATCAACTCATGGTCACAATGTAGTGCGTTGCGCTGAAGGTTCTGCTCAGGTGGATGCAATAATCCTCCTGTGTTGTCGATCTTGCCAATCTATGGATGAAGAATTCCTTCCAGTGTCTACTGGCTGACACAGTTGACCTTAGAGATTCCATTTGCCCACTTTTTTTCTGTCATCATTTGGCTGGGTTAGTTGTTCATATGTTCTGTTCTCCGTTCTCTGCTGTAGTACCAGATGTCCTCTGCAGACACCAATAGGCTGCCATGTCCTCTTTGTGCACCATAGTCTGCCACCAGAACTCCATCCTTTACACTGAAGAAAACCAGTTCTTATAGGTGGGCTTATGAACCTGAGCCAGGCAACCTGTGCTAAGCCGGACCTCCAACCCTGGGGCCCACAGACACAACATCCCCCCCCGGCAGGTGTGTCCAAGAACCCGGGACAGATGACCTCAGCCAACTGAGTCCTCCACCCCTGGGGTTCTTGGACCCAGCACCCACTGTGCAAGTGGGCCCAAAGCCCTGGGCCATGCAGCCTGGGACCCACCGGAATCCCTTTCCCCAGGGCTCACGGATGCAGCACCCACTGTGCAGGTGGGCCCAAGGATTTGGGCCAGGCGACCCGTAACTCACAGGATCCTCTAACCCTGGGGCTCACAGACCTGATTTCCATGACTCAAGTGGGCCCAGTGACCTGAGCCACAAGACCCAGACCCCTGCAGACCCCTCCCACCTAGGGATCACAGACCTGGCACCCACAAGCAGGCAGGCCCAAACCCGTGGCCCATACAACCTGGGATCCACTGGATGCTCCAACCATGCAGGTGAGTCAGACCCCAGATCCTCCAGAGCCCCCACACCTGGGGCTTATAGTCCAGGCCCTCACATGCAGGCAGGCCCCAGTGACTCCTCTGGATCCCCCATCCCTAGGGCTCATGGACCTGGCTCCCACCATGCAGGTGCACTCAGTGACTCAAAGTGGCCAAGAGACCCAGGCCACTTTGGACCCCCCACCCATGAGGTTCACACATCCTTCACCCACACAGGCAGACTGAAAATCCTGGGCCATATGACACAGGCCCTACTGAACTACTTGCCCCTGGGGTTCACAGATTCAACGCCCACCATATAGGTGGGCCCTAAGACTTGGGCCAGAAGACCCAGGCCCCTCTGGAACCCCCAACTCCTGCGGCTCATGAACCTATACCCACTGCCCCCAGACTGGCATGGTTCATCTCTTCTTGGCATCCACCAGTGGGTGTTTCAGATAGTCTGATCCAGCCTACCCCCAGTTCCAGCTAGTGCTGGTTGGTGCTGCAGCCTAGCCTTGCCCAGACAGCACCCAGTTCTGGCTCAAGTGTGAACTGGCTGGTGTTGCAGCCTGATCTGGCCCCTCCTGCACCCCATCCTGGTTCTTGGATGTACCAGTGGATATTGTGAACTGACCCTACCTGGCCCACCCCCTGACTTGACCCACATTTATGCCTGGTCAGTTTGTTCTGCTCCTTGCCTTGGTTCTTGTGCTTACCTGCCGGGAGTGCATGCAAACTGACAAAGGAGTTTATCAAACTCCTCTATCTGGTCTCCTCCCAGTGGCAGATCTTGCACGCACCAGTGATTTCTTGGCCCAGATTGACTTCATCCACCTACTGTCCTGGCAGGAACGGTGTAATTTGCCTAGTCGGCCCATACCCTTTCCGGTTCTTACTGTTGGGTGTTGCCGCCCACCCACACCTAGTCTGTACCCATACACAGCTCCCACATGGTTCAGGTGGAGCCGAGACCTATCCCTATTCCACACACACACCCTGACTCTCATGAGTACCAGTGGGTGCTGGAGTCTAGCCCAGTTTGGCCCTGCCCAGACCCAGTCCATACCTGTCCTGAGGGAGAATGCAGCCATGTTCAGCCCAGCACAATGCCCCAGTTCTGGCTCACATTCACCAGCAGCAATTCCAGTCTAGTCGGGACATCTCCATAGCTCCTCAACCAGGCCTATTCCCAGCCACAATTCTTGCACTTTGCCAATGGATATTGCTGTTCCACATGCGTGAGCCCACATACTTCATGGCGGATTCTACCTCCAGACCTGGTTCACTCACATGTTTGTCGACTTCATAGCCTAGCCTCACAGTACTTGTTCCCTTTTCTGACACTCGCTGGTGGGTTCCATGTTGTAGCCCTGCAAGTAGAGTGGCCTTCTTGGAATTCCCAAAAGTCATTCCTTAACTGAATGTGAACCCTGCTGCTTGTCCTCACCTGTACTATCTCCCAGACTTCCTGTAACCCCATATCGCCAAGTTCCCAGACTGAACCACCTGGCAGCCAGAGGGCTTTGCCAGCTTGAGTTCCCCCAGCTGCAGCCACACAGCTGGGAGAGTCAAGCCACTCATTCCTCAGCCCAGATTTACTTGAGCTCCAACCCACAGCATGGTGCAGTGAGTAGAGCCAGGATGCTGAACATGCCCAGACCTACTAGAGATCCACCCACAGCACGGTGGCTTTGGAGGGAAGAAATTTTCAAGTCTTAAGCCCAGTTTAGCTTAAGATCTACCCACCATGTGGCAGTGTTTGGTGGAGCTAGGCTCCCATCAAGCTTGTCTGGCCTGGATTCTTCCAGCTGCAGCCATGCCTTAGCCCGGACTTACTTTTACATTTTTTTAAAGGTGTAATTTTAATTTATTTGAAAGGCAGAGAGAAGAAGAAGAGGCAGAATTTTCCATCCTCTGGTTCACTCTGTAAATGGCCAGAATGGTCAGTGCTGGGCCACGCTGAAACCA